TACTATACATGACAATGTTACCATGTAGTTCAGCTACACTTATGTGATACTCTTATTATATCAGTGATATCCATTACAAATGTTATCCAGCCTCTATGGTACATACACATCCCTTCCTTATTTAATTTGTAGCAGTATGTAAAATGGCTCTACCAAAACATGTCTCATCTACAACTGGTTTTTTATAAAATTTACAAAAAGTGCTATCATTACTCCAGCCTGCAGCTTTTAAAATAACATCAATTGGTATACTCAAGGTATGAGCAGCACTAGTTGCTGCTGCACGTGTACTATGCTGTGAAAACTGAACAATCAACTCCAGCTCTCTCTAAGATAACTTTAGTCCAACGTCCTATAGTACTACTTGTAATTCCCTTGTGGGGTTTACACCAACTAATGAATAATTTACTATCAGACCTAATGTCTCTGGTTCTACTCAAATATTCCTTCATATATGTAACCACAGAACAAACATGGTGTTACTAAAACTTGAATAACTTTTGATCTAAATAAGATAGATTATTTAAATTGATTATTCATACTCAAATGTATGGCTATCTGTGCACCAAATTTCAAGTCTCTAGCTCACTTAGAAAAATATCATGTGTGCACCTAGGCTCTGGGTTTACCTCTGGCTTGTCTGTTCTTTGCTCCACCTCACTCACGTTTGCAACACTTGGACAAATAATCCTGGATCCGCCCCTGGGAAGTATTGTAAATCTAAAATGCAAAATAGTGTCTTTTCAATATTGTAAAAACTAGTGCATTTTTACAGTGTGTGCACTTTACCCTTCTTCCCTTTGTTGTTCTATTATCATCACGCATGCGCACTACCATGTGATACTTGGATTTTGTACTAATGGCGTTATATATTAGTGAGTATTGATGATCTTATTTTAACATGCAAGGGCATAGCTAGTGTCAAATAATTGTAAGAATATTAAATTATTGAAGGTTTAACGTGTGGGCACAGTGGCATCCCCCCTCCACTTCGCGGGTGGGTTTTATGAGATGTAGCGTAGAATGATGTTATTTCGTGTCTTTACGGGATGTGGTAGTAAAATGGATAAAGGCATTGGATTGATGCCCTGTCCTATAACTTTTTTTTATAAAAAATTAAAACATACTTCCCAAAAGGCCAATTAAATACCGAGATTAAGTGCAGTGTCTCACAGATAATGCTGCAGCATTGGGAAAATACCGTATTCGGTTTTGGGATTTTCCTTTTTCTTACATTCGGTTTCCGGTTTGGCATGAATCATTCGGTGTAGTAGGCTTGTTAAGGACCAAAAAATGGCCAAACGCTGCATTTTGTAGTACAAATGTCTAACTTGGCATAAATGTACCTTGGGCCAAAAGAAAATTTTTTTTCCAAAGAGACGCCCTCTATCGATACATTAATTAGCATAAATTATGCAAATTATGTGCCAAAATATATAATATTTCATATTTCCATTAATTTTTGGTCTAGAAACATGAATAGATTATCAAACCTGACTAAATAAGGGACAAGGAACCCATTTTTGATCATTTAAGCTATTGGTGGCCATTTTGTGCCTCAAATCCAAGATGGCCGCCACCCACCATTTTGAAAATGGACATAATTTTGCTATTTTATGTTGAATTTTGAAGCGTTTGGTCTAACTATACTTGATATATATATCGATTCCTACTATTTTGGGGAGGCAAAAGTCATTTTTGATATTGTTATGGTGACAGTAGATGATTTGAAGGAACAAAGAGGGTGTTTTAAGTGCCTACCAAGATATGTGTGAACGCTGCAAACCCATGGATATTAATAACCCGTATTCAAATATATCTCAATGCAATTTTTTGTTATATTCCATCGCTATTGGACTATATTATGAGCAAGAAAACACATTTTTACCATTATGGAGGCCATTGGTGGCCGTTTTATCCCTCAAATCCAAGATGGCCGCCAAAAACCATTTTGAAATTGGGCATAATTCGCTATTTTGAAACTATATGTATTACATCTTTGTAAATGAGTAATACGTCGTTTTATATTATTCTCTGGTGCAGAATACATTATTTGTTTCATGAAATGTGAGTACAAACTATTTTAGCCTCCAAAATCAATGTGCATGTAGGCTTAAGTTGTCAAATAGACTTACATGTGCCATGTAGTCTAATTAGTACAAAATGTTTTATTAAATCCTAAAGAGCTTGAAACAAGCGTCAAAGACCAAAATGGC